GTATCATTCTCAATGGGATGGTTACTCGGTTCCATGTGCTATCTGCTTTGGCTTTGAATACTTGGACTTCAGTGTGATTTTGCATTCTGGATTTCTGTGCTTCGTCCATACTCATGTTCCTTGCAGAATTGATTGAATGTGTGATGTATATTTAAATATTATTTAATATTTATATAATATAATTAGAATTAGAGTCTTGAATTGATGTAAGATTCCATAAAAATAGTTGGTACTAACTTACTTGTAACTTGTAGCCTTTTTTTTTTTTTTTTTTTTTTTTTTTTTTTTTTTTTTTTAAATTTATTTTAAGCGTACTCTTTTATTTGTACAATATTTTGCCCCATGAGTGACGTGGCGAGGCCCTGTTCGTTTGGTGAGAGCAGAGTCTGGTGAGCTTTCCACCCTTGGAACTCAGGTCACCTGTCGGGGCTCCCTTGAGTGCAAGGGTGATTTTACCTGCGGCCTTCCTTGAGGAGTTTCGAGGGCGAGCAATTGTAAGTTGTAACAGAGAATGTGGAAACGCTCGAGGCCGTCAAAAGGGTGTCACAATGGTGGAAGGGTGCAAATTTCCAGTTTTAAAGTTGAAACGAGGCCCTAACTCTGGGATGTGAAATGTTCTATTTTCAATGAGTGTCATAAGCTAAACTGCCGATGCTGCCGAGATAACTCCCGGTCGAATAGTGAGGTCCCCGACCTCAGCTCAGATGTTTGATTTGAAATGAAATGCTATGTGCTAGGCCACCACAGTGTCCCGGGACCACTTGCCCGACTGGGCCAATATATATATTCTATTTGTGACGATATATATATATATATATATCACAAACAGAACTGCCTGGTAAAACTGTAGGCAGAGAGAGAGAAGAGGACAACAAACGAGGGGCTGTGACAAACTGTTTATATATATCGTCAAACAGAGCTGCCTACGGTAAACCGTAGGCAGAGAGGGACAAGAGGGAGAAGAGGACAACAAACGAGAGAGGGGCTGTGACAAACTGTTTCATTGGAGTTTCAACGACTTATCAGGAGGCATATTAAACTCCGACGAAACAGTTTGTCACAGCCCCCTCCTCGTTTGTTGTCCTCTTCTCCCTCTTGTCCCTCTCTGCCTACTACGGTGTACCGGCCGGGGCAGCTCTGTTTGACTCTATATTGTCAACAGAGCTATATATATATAAACTCCGACGAAACAGTTTGTCACAGCCCCTCGTTTGTTGTCCTCTTCTCCCTCTCTGCCTACGGTTTACCGGGCAGTTCTATTTGACGATATATATATATATTTTTTTTAATTTTAGTTTTGGTAAAGAATTTGGATGTGACCCTGACGCAAAAGTTGTTGAGTTTATTTTGGTCGCGTCAACATAATTTTGTGGGGAGGGTTTATACGCAGTCGGCGAAATGCATCGGGGCTTGGCTGCACGACTGTCGTCCATATGTATGGTTGGAGGAAAGGGCTAATAATGGAGTCTGGACACAATAGACATTTCTTTATCCGCCAGTTGGGAGGTGGCCGGGTGGATGGATTGGATTTTTCTGGTTTGCTGATCGCGGTTCTTTGCTCATTTTGAATATGCGTGCATGAGGGAATCAACCCTGTGGGTCCAAGTGGCCTAGCTCAGTTGGTACACCCCCCCTGGACTGAACTGTTGAAATACAGACCAGGTGCAGAGTTTGAACTCCACTGGAAGCAGTTGAGTAAAAATAAAAATATAAAAAAGGAATCAACCTTGTCCAATCTAATTTCATGCATGGACCGCGCGTGCACTCCCGTCTATTCCTATAATCCTATTCCTTTTTTTCCTTTTCTTTTTCTTGTCTATTCCTATAATTCCTTATCGAGTCTGTTTGCTATTTCTATAATTCCTTATCGAGTCTGTTTACTATTTCTATTCTTTCTGATCCTGTTCCCCTATTTGCTTAACCTTGTGGTCGTTTTGAATTTCTGGTCAGGCAATATGGGTGCCATGTACAGAGCCATGGATGTGGAGTCGAGAGCGAAAGCGATTGCAGAGATCAACCAGTATCTGGATGTCTTAGAGGACATCATCACATCAACACCATATGTGGCAGGTCCTGAGATATCATCAGGTGGGTACTCGTTGCATCTTCCTCTCCTCTCCTTTCCCCTCCCACTGCTTTTGCTGCACTCCTCCGAACCTGCTGTCGCACACCCCTCTCCCCGGGGCACACATCGTTGAGATCCGTTCGGCAATCCTACCGAAACCACATCTATGGGCCTCTCTCCACTACTCACGAAATGTGCAAAATGAGAATGAATCTTCCTGTAGAACATGGCAAGATACACCGCCATATTTTTTGTCCTTTTCTGCATGTGGTGAGTAGTTGAATGTCTCTGTGTTGTTGCGTATCCGACAATTCGCTAAATGCAACTCGACCCAAAAAAAAGGGTCGACTGCGACAGACTGTTCGTACTCGGACTTTGATCGAGTCATCAGGAGGTCGAACCTAGACAGTGGTTGACTATCAGACAGACAGAGAGAGAGAGAGAGAGAGAGAGAGAGAGAGAGAGAGAGAGAGAGAGAGAGAGAGAGAGAGAGAGAGAGAGAGAGAGAGAGAGA